TGCAACTCGAAAGGTCCACACGACCAACTTCCCAGTGGAAATTTAGAATTTATCATAAGATTAAATTTCTGTTAATTTACAACAATTTAATTGTTATAGAAAAAAATCGATGTTAATGATGATACATAGTTAGTACCTTCGCTTTAGTAATGAAAGAAAATTGCTGTAAGATAAACTCCAATGCCTTACATACAACCCGTTTCATAATATTTATAACAAATTCAATGGTTATAAACGAAAAAGCATGTTGTCATTTATGTCATACGATTGGTAACATTTAAGTAGGAGAAAAAATTACACGTTGGAAAAATTGAAATAAATCGCATTTCTCTTTCAATTGTTTATAACAATTTGAAGTTTTTTATTTAATTATTACCATGATCAATATTCATTCGTTAGTCACAATGTTCAATTATTATGGACACAAGTCCATATTATTAACACTCATTATTGACTATCATAGCATCTTTAATGCTATTTTCTCAATCCTGACACGAGTTTATAATTCTTTCATTGCTGATTTTGTTTTTTAAAAATTTCTTCGCAATGAAATATTTTCATACAAGTATTCTAATCATTGAATATTCATATTTTTTAAAAGATCTTGGACTTTGTCTAAAAAATGGTATAATTTATAAATTGCAAAATTCAGATTTCTTTCCATCTTTGCTAGTTTTTCGGTTCTCACCGAAAAAAATAGCTGGACCGATTTTGCTGAAAATCTAATGAGTTTTAAGTTACGCAATTACACGTTGAATGCAACTGGTCCTACGACGATATCATTCTTTGTTCTCGAGATTATCGATCAGGAGAATTCGAAACGAACGTACGCACATGCTCACATACGTACACACACATAGACGTCTACTGGAAAACGATCGTATTCGACTCTAGAGACCTTAAAACTATAACATTACTATAACTGCTAACTGGGAAGTTAATATGCATTTAGGGTTATTTCTGAAGGTTGCAATGTTATTTTTTTTTTTTTTTTATATTCAATTATAACACACGATTAGTGCAGAACTATAAAAGTTAGAACAAAAGTCGATAACGGAACTTAGAGCATGAATTATTCGATTTTGATCACTCAAGAAATATAAATCACGTACATAAGCATAAAAGAAAATCAGATAAATGTTAAACGCAAACGATTTAGATCCAATTCTATTAACAAAATGATAATGATTTAGTAATAGACCCTTTATGGCCTGACCACGCTGACGCAAAAGGTCACGATTTTACTTAAGGTTATAATGTTTAATACTCTTCATACCCCAGTCGGGAAAATACTTCTCCATGTGATTCAGGAACCTCCCAAGAATCGGTGAAGTCCTGATCTGGATGGCTGGTTGGTACTCGGTCCCCAAACAACACCCAAGATCAAAGCCAAAAGAGATGAAGTTCCAGAAATTCTCCAAAGAAAAAGGTGTGAAGAAGTACCGTCTGGTAACCGTGTTGCTAGGCCGGCGTCCGGAAGCCAAGAGAGGGTTTTCAAATTTTGCAGATGGATGTGGTGTCATGAGGATGACCCCACTTCTAATTAGAATACTTTGGATGACCTCTGGCGAGCGCGGGCTAATTAACATCATATAAATAGGGCACTGGTCGCTAGTGCACTACAAGGTACAGATAGTAGATGTAAGGCGGGCGAAACATATTTTTTCCATTACATAGTACAAATTACATAGGATACATCAATGGATTTCTCTAAAATTGCTAATTGTACATTTCAAAACGTAGCAAAAAGAGGCTTGAGATTCCTCTGAAATGGAAGCAATGGTTTTTATTGTTTACATTCATCCGACGATTACTGAAAATTGTATTTCTTTCATGTTATGATGCTGTAATTTGTGCTTCTAGAAATTCATATTATCTTTCTTTTGTTCTTATTCATAGGTGAATTTAGGGTAATATCGCTTTTGTTTATTCTTAGTAGTAGAATAATCGCTCGCATTCATACAATGTGTTAACATGTTTTTATTTTATCAGTATTGAGAGTAATAAAAGTTCAAGGTACTTGCGATTTACATCATCAATATTAATAACAAGTTCGATTGAAATCATGACGTGTGAAGGATGTGCTATGTCGATTCAGTGTGCGTCAATTATTTTGACTCACTCTCAAGACCATGGAATAATAGCGGAAAGCGTTTTGTGTTCTACATACAGTAATCCTGCATCTTCTCCTTTTCTACAATGTTTATGGTGATGTCAGCAACGCCATAGAACACAAATACATAAAGTCGTCGATAAAAAGTACAATTTTTAAAGATTAGTGTGATTCGACTCTTGGATCGAAAGTACAAACTTAACACCTGAAAAAATACGTGCCTTTATAGCCATGTATTTTCTACTGAATGCACTACATTAACAAATTTTAGTTGATGAATTGGAATCATCGTAGACTACTGTGTGACTAGAGTTATTTTATTCGTAAAGTGCTAGAAAAATGGTGCCGTATTTAAAAATTTTTGGTATTTTTCATAAAAATTAACGAGAAGAGCATTTTCGCCAGATTTCATTGTTTGGAAATAATTTTCACTATCGTTTATCAACAATTAAAATTTGGCAAAGCACACTTTCTGATCTTTTACAACAGTTTCAAAAAACGAAAAAATAATTTTGTCTTAAATTCCAACGGAAAGATGTTTAGACAACGATTGTAATTATTCCATATTTTTTTTGAATTTTTAAAATGATAATAAATATTTTTTTCTAATTAATTAGTTAAAGAGGGCCTAAACTCTACATTTCGGTGGAACGCTCAAAATGGTCAGTTTTGGTGCCCACGTTCAGAGCACTGCACTTTTTTTTACCTATAACGGGTAAATATATACTTTCGCGAACTTTTGTACCGAGAATACGATTCTCTAATGATATTAATCTAAGTAGGTGACGTAACAAACAGTCAAAAACGAATAATTTTTTTTCTATTCTATCAACCTGATTCTTTTTAACTTTTATCATGAAACGCTGATTAAATGGATTCAACAATAATTGGTCTCAAACGCAATCGAGGATATCATGATAAAAGTTCCAACAGGAAATACGGCTTCTATTTAAAAACAAATATTACATCACTTTACGTGCAATTTCAAAATCTATTATTTACATCTAAAACCTTGACCAATTACGCACCTAGGGAACAATATTGCAACATCAACCTTATTTGAAAAATGGTAAAAAACTCTAAATTTTTGGATAAGAGTCAGTCATAAATAAATCAACTGTGACAACTCGGATCATTGCTGCTTTGCTGATGTGTAGATCACACCGGACATAGAACCATACTTGCGTCATTTTCGGTATATTCTATTAGTTGGACGAATTAAAGTAATATTGAATTCAATCTATGGTCGAGTAGTATCAAAAAGTAAAATATAAAAGGAATCAGTGAATTAAAATATCCATTTGAGACATCTCCCCTTCAAATTAAAGTAAAGTGGTAAAAAAACCTTTCAATAATTGATATTGTATATTATAAAAATATTTTATTTCCAGTATACATGTTTGTTAATCGTAACTCGAATAACAATTTTTTTGATCCTTTTTTATATTTCTCTTCATTCAAAAGGAATCAACAGTTAACACGAAAATAAGACCATGAGAGCAATCTCTATCCCCGTTTTTTTAACTGACAGGAAAAGTATATATGTAGGTATATCTATTCATACCTAGACAAATCATCTGTATAGCGTTTCGAAGTTGTCTATCTAGGCTCTACCTTGACAGATTCAGTGTACCGCTGTTGGTCGTTATTTAACTAAGTCACCTACCTTCAAGATTACGTATAGCATTCATACTAGAATTCTCTTATTCTCTCCTGTTCGTAAAGATACAATTTAAATTTAATGAATCGGTAGAACATTCAATAAAAACATAACGAAACCTTAATTTAATATAAACAAATTTCAAAGGCGTTCGATCTAGTTCATATAAATATTCTTCACCTCAATTCTATCGAGCGTCATAGAAATTATCCCACTAAATCTACGTAGAAAAAAAGTGTCATCGAAAATTTTTTAGTAGCATTATTTTCAGAGAAATAACGACTATTTTATGAAAAAGTGTTCTATTTAATTTGCATTTTGAACAATTAATTTTTGAATTCAAAATACGAGTGGAAGTAATGATAATAATTTTTTTTTTGTTTAGGAGAAAAATGAAATTTCTTCAACAAATACCATAACTGTTTTTAAAGAAAGTCGATTTTTATCTGATCTCAAATTAGCAAGCGCAAAATTTGCCATTGTGTACATAAGACATAAGGGCGCAAACTTGACAAAAAAAAGAAGAAAAAAAGTCATTTCGACTATCTTAATAAATTGAAAACGTAGTATTTTTTCAAAAAATTTATTGATAAATGATCAGAAAGCAATACTTAACAAGCATTGATTTTTCTAATTAGTTTCATTGACGATTAATCTTTTTTTCTTCGTTGTTTATTGAGAAGGCGATTAACGGTACATCTTGCCGGAGCGTCTGGAATAATCAATTGTCAAGCGTGCATTCGGATCACTTTTCCTTTTTACTTGTTTCAAATAAACACATGCTATCACCGACTTTTTTTTTTCTTCTATCTATCACCGTTCTTGCTACGTAAGCGGTAAAAGGGGAAGAAACGCATGTTTAACACTGTTAAATAATTCACACAAATGCTCTTCCCGATAACTTTTACTAATAAGATAATTATTTTTGGTGATATACTGCTTAAAATTACGGCTACTAGACTATATGTATGAGTGCCGAACTATTACTTTCGATATCCACGTGCAAAAATTATGAAATAATAAACGTTTTTTATTATTTCATCTTTTACCAGACTAGAAGTAAAACTTGCTTATTGATTTTTTTGAACTTAACGTATTTATAAATTTTCAGTGTAGTTATTATATACTTTTGGTGCAATCGTAGAATAAGCTTCATGTCGAAAAACCTCATTACAACGGTTGGATAAAGTATTTCAATTGTTACTACGATAGCCTAGACAAACAAACCTGTTCAGCAGCGCTATCTTCCTGGACATCAGACACAAATATTCCTTGACCAACTTTCGTATGCTTTCCTTGTATTATCATAATGCCTAGTCCATAATGTCCCTGTAATAATACATAATACTTTTTATTCTTCCTGAATAGAATAGTGTTGGATCATAGATGTCGTTTACCTATAACTTTATAAAGGGCATAGTATTTACTTCATAATCTTTTAGACTGTCAAATTTAAATAATTATAAAACTATTTAAGTACCTTAGGAATTAATTATAATTGTGTTTCTGTCTGTAATAGCATTCTGTTTTATTATGAAATCATGAGAAAATTAATTTTCTTATTTAGTACTGACAGAAAAGCAATTGAATATTAATTCTTTGAATTCTAAGGTGCCCAACAGAACGACAATAGCATATCGGACCGTACTGACATATAAAGTATTGTGATCAAGTAAGATTAAATTAATGATTGTAAAAGTACTGCAACTTTGAATGATAAAGCTAGTTTAAACAGTAGAAGCACAAAGAAAAATCAATAACAAAATCAAGATATACGGTAGTATCTCGTGCGCCAAGCATAAAATACCGCTATATGACTTTTACGTTACGACGAGGCTCGGCCTTGTCTCTATTCAAGTTATAAAATGATTTTTTCAGGTAATAAATCGAAAATTGGAATATGTATCTTTTCTCTCACATAAAGAGTGGCTGGAATCAAGAACTAGCACGGAAAGCAATTGTTAGCTTTTGATTGAGCATACCATCAAGTGTCATTACCGCTGCATTTATGATGCACAAAATTGGCATGAGTAATTATGCCTCTGGATTATCCAAAATTTTCAAAAACCGTACAAATGCATTCTAGGGCTTTGCCCGTATTGTACAAAAACTAACAAATGAGCCAAAATTTGATTTTTATCGGCAGTGTCTTCAAAATGGAATTCTACCCATAAAATAACTCTGAATTTAAATAATCTTCCAGTCCTCATTTTAGATTTGTTTTAAAGATCTTTGAAATTAATAGATGAAAAAAAATTTTACGTTTCAAAAACCTGTTATTGAAAAATGTCAATATTTGTATAAGTTTAACGTTTAAAATGCTCTTCTTATTAAACGAGTTTCTTATCGTATTCCATTAGATTATATGGTAAAAATTTATTGTGTTATAGAACAAATGAAGCAATAAAATAGAACTGAGTTTGAATAAGTTCCATAAACTTCTCTTCTTGGTCCCGTTTTAATAATAATAATGATATGGGATATTGTGTTTCATTTCTAGAGCAAAATGAATTGCTGCCTAACTTGATATTTTTAAATATAATTTTCTTAAGTCGTTGAGACCATTGGATGTGGGTTTTAACACCGAGCTGTCGCCAAAGAGCTCGTAGAGTTGCGTTGAAATCAACAGCCTTTTATTCTTATAACGTGACGTGAGCAAGTTCTACGCAATGCCGTAGTTATCGTTAGTGGTCTTTAAGTTCTGAAAGAGCTGAGCTGCATCGTCCTGATTTGCACCTATTGATAATATCATTTTGTGGACGTCTGTGAGCTTAGAATTGCTACCTACCACAGCCTGGAAGGGATCTTTGAACTCATGTCAGTCTTGATATTTCCCACTGAAGGGTTTGATCTTGATGGTTGAGCTGGGCGAAAAGATTTGATGAGATTGGTTAAATTGCTCGAAGCGGCACATGTTTATATAGTACTTTTTTATTATTATTTAGCAACAGAACCGTTCCTCGTATATTACATTGTTGAAGAACAACAGGAATAGATGATTGTAGATAGATGTGATAATATGAAAATATTATTGTTTAACCTCCAATCGAAAATCAAAATTACCCATAAGTATATATTATGTAAGAATTTTGTCTCATTTGGTTGACATCATCATTCAATTTATTATCAAAATTTGATAATTGTAAATGGGTATTGACTCTTCAGCAAAATAGTGTGCAAAAAAAATGTATAAAAATGGAAGACTGAAGTTAAGACAAAGAGATAATCGAAGTAATGATAAAAAATTCTGGCTGTTTGTCATCCTCACAATGCATTGATGATATTCTTAATGATGATAAGAAGGGCTGCTTTTTAGGCAATAATCAGTCGAATTTCTGGCGTTGACTTGTACTCTAATGGTTAGTCTTCTCAGAAAATTCAGATTCACAGGTATCTTATCCTCCTTTATATTCTTCAACTCTCCACTGGAGCTGTTTAACTCTGCTTCGAAGTAAGGTTGAAAATACTACCTTGAAGAGTCCAAGGCTACGGATTCTATTACGACCATTGATTCAAAGCTGTGTCGCTACTTTTTATTGCTGTAGGTGTCACCCCGTTATCAACGGTTAACCGTTATGATAAGACTGAGAAAAAAAACCAATTCACAATATAAAAATACTTTCACTTGTTAGAACAAATTTATGGAAGGCGTTGATGTCCATGATCAACACTGTAATAGGCTTTTTCCAATACTGAGATCAAAAAAATGGACATAGGTGATTTTTATGCGTTTGATACAGTCATCTTATACTAATGCCACGATTTTGAATAATCCATGTAACAGTGGTGATCAAAAAGTTGGTTTGAAAGAATTTGCTCTGGATATCTGTCAAAATTATCTAGCGAAATCGCAGGCGAAAAAAAAAGAAAATCGTTCTCTCAAAATTTACACATCATGAAGAAAATGATAATAGAGAGAAATGTACAATCAGAAGCAATAAATTCTGTGAGGATTGCAATTTGTATTTCTGCCTTCGATGTTTAAAAAAAACTCATACATAAATAATTTAAAATACTACTAAACATGTAATGAAAATACATGTGTATACATGGCTAAAAAAAAATAGCAAAACGAAAAAAAAATAGAATTTATAAAATATTCTTAAAAAATCGAAAATTACATCCAATCCTATTCTAAAATTTAGGCAAGTTTTGAAACTAATTCTAAGAAATTATTGTTCTCAGAAAATTTTTGTACAAGTTGATAGTTTTCAAGAAAAAAATTTTTTAAATTAAAAAAAAGTTTTTCACTCTAGCTGTAGTTATGTTTTACTAAAACTTTTTTACATGATAGCAACCATATAGATTTTTACTCTAAACATCGAGGCCGCGATTTTTACTGGTTTTTAGTACAAAAAAAATTCAGACAAGGAGCGAAAAATCAATTTTAACAATAAAAGGAAAAAGCACCGCCGAAAACATGAGGAATAGTTCTTAAAAATTTTTTTACGTCCAACGAATCGCATGGCGACAATTCGAACTCACACGGAAACCTTGCCAGGTGGTCACCGTCGATTTAGCTGAAGTTTCTATATAATAATCTACGTCGAAAATGATGATCCACGTATTTTTGTTCCGGCGGGAAAACGTTTCGAAGGGGTGAAAATCGCCCTTAAAATGGCCATCCTATAAATATGATCATTAATTTTCACATATTTCTAAGTGTTCTGACTTCGAATAATTAGATGAATCAAGGTCTCTTCTGCCAACTCATTTTCGCTAATTAGACAACTCTAATTAATTCCTAGAAGTATATATCCCTTCTTAAAGGGCCTAGAAGCTCCAAGAACGTAGAGTTTTTGGAAAAAACGGACCATACTCTTCAGTACTCGTTGGTTACTGCTAGTATTCGTACGTAGTTTATACTCGGACGACTCTTGGGCATCATGAGACGATGCCAATCGACAGACAACTCGTTGTAACAGTCAACATGGTACGTGTGTACAATCAGATAACTCTCGCACTCAAACTCGCTAGTGAAAATCCAGCCAACTCCTCAGAATACTCCTCAGACATGGAATAATTTACCAGTTAATCATCTACAGTGATGATTATGAACTCATCAGGCAGTCTAACTCTCAGCAGATTTATCCAGTAAGCTCAAGTTGGTCCAATGAGCATCTTCGTTGCAAAAGGCGCGAACGATGGCCGAATGAACAGTCATACACACAAGATTCATCAGAACAACTCGCTTGTGTCTGTCTGACTGACGCCAACACATTGAAAATCAGACGACTCCTGGTGCAGAAACCAGAACAGGAAAATTTACAACTTTTCTGTGATCTTCTACTCATCAGTGAACTCTATGTGAAATTTCAGTAAACTCAATACTGTACAGACAATTCAAAGACTTTGTTGTTCAGTAAACTCATCTCATATAATTATTAGACAGACTCTATTCTCGTTATTTTTCTGTTACTGTTACTTTTGTAGTTAATAAATCGTTAGGTGTTACGATTGAATAGTGTGAGCCGATTCATTTACACCGTTCAAAGTTCCGACTCTTCTAACATCCAAATATCCTCAAAAATACAGTCCACAAATTCCCGACTACTCAGTCAGCCGACGCAAAGTCAGAACATTCCCCCTCGAACACTGATCGAAATTTTTCAAAACGGCCTTATACGTTAAAAACAACATAAAAAATGATGAAAAATACTACTACTTACATATTCATAAAACTTACGAATATACATTTTTTTTTATTAAATATAACAAAAAATCTATAACTCAGAAACTATCACATATTTCTTAATGAGACTAATTTCAATCAAATGAGCATACAAAAATTACAAGATACATGTCTTGGAATTTTTTAAAATAACAACGAAATCGATGCCAAAAGAACAATTCCTTTTTGCCGGAAAAATCAAAAAAAAAAAAAGTTATAACTCAAAAACTAGAAATTATTTTTTGATGGAACCGATTTTTATCAAACGAGCATAAAAAATTACGAGATATGTGTCTTTACGATTTTTGAAATAATATTAACGACAGTAAAAAAAATCACAATTTGAAAATTTTCAATTGTTATTGATTAATTATTTATAGTCACAATAATCACCGAAAAAAATGCATCGTAATCAGAGACTGACTAGTTTATGATTAGTCAAAATCTTTTGTTTGTTATCGTCATGTGAGCAAACATAGATATGATTCTTATCACAGTCACTGATATAGTATTTTTGAAGAAAATCATTTCTGTAATTGTACTAAACGGATTATCCAATGCTAACATTTTAAACGAATGTGACATATTTTGATCATTTAAAAATTGTAACATTATTTTTTAGCATTCATATTTGTTGAGAATTTATCAATTCTCAGTT